CCCTTGAGCCCACAGGTCCGAGTTTCTGTTTCGCATTATCTCAGGGATATAGGGTTTCTCGTCCGTTTTCGCGGCCCCAGCCCCCACCTCCACCAAGGATTAGCTCTGTGGGAAGCACATGAGACGCGATTTTCTATTGCTGGATTAGCCACAGGATTAAGGAATTTTGGCTAATTTACCTTCCTCTTGGCTTTATAGCAACTCCTTTTAAATAAACACAGACTTTTCCATATTACCCCAAAGAAGAAGCTATAAAAAGTGGGTTCACTCACCACCACCCAGAAAACTGGATGCTCCTGGCACCCAGGGGCACCCAGGGGCGCTACCTCCACACGGAAGAGAACCTGAGCCACACTCCTTGCCATCTATGGCCTGCGTCCAAGCTCATCTCTTTGCCAGCCATGGGCAGGCCACCAGGGAAGCCAAGTGCCCAACAGGGACAGGCCCCTAGGTGCAGGACGCTAGTCACTGCTCAGCCACAGGCTCGGCTGTGCTTTGACTCCAAGGTGAGTCCAAACAGGGCTGAGCACAGTGGGAAACTTGGCCTTGGCCACCTTCCGCATCCCACTTCTTCCGAGGCTGGCCTGTCCGACAATCCGTATAAAGGGATTAATTTACCAGGACCTGATAAAACACAAGTGTCCCGAGTCAGAGGGGATGGCTCGGTCGCTCCTTGGAGGCCTGGAAGGCCTGGGTACAGCTGGCAAGCCAGGCTGTGGCCGCACAGATAGGACCACCCAGAGATGAGCCCCCTGCCCGGGCGAGCGCCTGCTGACCCACAGTGGGAAACGGCCTCCCCGGGCCAGTTTTCTGGACTCACTGGCTGGCCCAGGCCACTCTCCCAAATGCATGTCCTGCTGAGTTTGCAGCTTCATTTTGCTCTCTCTCCTCCATCCAGCACAGCTCCTGTGGGTACAGCCCAGGCCTAGACAGCCCCTCTACAGGGCGGGTGGGGAGGTGGCAGGCCCGACAGTAGCTGTCCCCAACCTTGGCTGTCCCCAACCCTCCTCCAGTGGTGCTTCATTTGGGAGGGCACCAAGGGGACAGAGGATCAGCTGTGATGTGGTCCGTCTCAGAGCCATGTGGGCCCATCTGGGTTGCCTGTTACAGTTACAATACTCATATAGGCCCCTCCTCGTGGCCTGGGCCTGACCCTTCCTTGGAGGGCACTTGGGTCCCCAGAAGAGAGAGAGCAAATTTCCTAGAGTCCCCTGCTCCCCTCCTCCCAGAGTGAGCTCTGCTCCCTCCCCCAGCTCCAGGACGGCCGGGCCTCACAACAGAAATCTCATGACCGTGACCATTTCCAGGCCCCAGAGTTAACCGCAGCCATCCCAAGCCCATCTGGGTGGGGGGTGGGGGCTTCAATCGCAGCTTCTTCAGGAGGGGTGCTTTCTGTCACAAGAGCAGAGGGATGGAAGATGGGGCTGCTGCCCAGCCCCCCATGCAAAACAAACACGAGCTAGCCCAGTGAGGGTACTGCCTACAGCCTGGCCCTGGCCCAGTCCTGGGAAGACGCAGTTTCCCCAGTGACTCTACCTTGCAAAGCCAGGGGAGCCTGTGGATAAACTGCCAAAAAAAGCGACAGGGCTGGGGATGGGCCAGGGCCAGCCTCCTGCAATTGCTGGAGTCAGGCCCAGGTGTGCCTCTGGCACAGACCAGAGTGTGTCGAGTCCCTTGCCCCCAGGAAGCAGCCCCTAAACAGAGGAAAAACAACCCTCTTGTCTCCAAACCCAATGGCAGGAGCTCAGGCTGTCCTGAACTCAACTCTGGCCCAAGGGCAGCCCCAACCGTCCATGAAGAGAGGGCAGCCAAGCCCAGGCCAGCCTGCACAGGCCAGGTGGCTACGTGTACTCATGTGGAGGGGCCGCTTGGTGGAAACAGCAACCACCACCCCCGCCTGTGGCAGGAGCTGCACACACCCTACACAGGGACCACGGGGTGGGGGGGTGGCACCGGGTGACTCACTCTGTACCTTCCCAACAAGTTGGGTCTGGGTACACCTGGGAGGAATGCCCCCAGGGAAACGGTGTCACTGTTTTAAAATCTAGAGTCTGTTTCCACAAACAGCAGATCTGCCCAGGAAAGAGACACCAGGAGCCCCTGAGGGTGCTCAGGCAGCTCAGCCCACCCTCCCCACCAGCACAGAACTAGACACCTCACCTTAGTAGCCCATCAAATAGGAAACTGCCAGGACTATGGTGGGGAGGGTGTCAGGGGGTCTCCAAGCAAAAGGGCCATTCTCTCCAACTCCCTAGAGCAAACAGGCAGAACTCCTGAGCCTTGTGGAGTCAGGTCAGCAGGGTTACAACCACCTGGACATGTAATAAATGCAAACGCGGAAACCCAACCCGGCAGGGCTGGGGGACTCCCCCCGCCTGCTCCCCACTCTGCACGGTCCCGGCCCTGGAGTCCAGCAGCCCTGGTGAGTCAAAAGAACCTGCCTGTGACATCACAGCAAAGCTGTGGCCAGCCTGAGCCACGGTGCCATAGAAAACAGTTGGAGCAGGAATTCCACGGCAGCAGGACATGAAACGAGTCAAAAATAACTGTTGTGGGTTTCTGAGGCAGAACCGCCTAGCGTGCTTTGGCCGAGCCCCTCAGAGTAGCCCCCCAGTTCCTGGGTCCCATCCACATCTCTGCCCTGGGCTCCAGGAAGACCCGGGGCCTCTGGGCTCCCAGACCCCGCCCGGACCCCTCACTCAGGAGCCTGCAGGAAGTGAGGGCACCAGACGGGTGAGTCATGCCAGGGCCTAGCTGTGGAAACAGCCTCTCCTTGCTCAACAGCTACTCTTCCAGCTTCTGTGAAGGGGACCCCTGTACCGCTTTATGATACCCCCATAAGAACACGAGGGGAAATGCCAGGCCTCTGTCTAGACACCCACGGAAGGCTCATCCCCAAGCAGGCCAGCCTGGCAGCCAGGGGGCCCACCTGGATGTCCATGTGTGGCACAGGGGGGCCTGGCCTCAGTGGACATGAGGAGACTCACGGGAAGAAGGCCTCAGGCATGTCCTGGCCCCACCTGAGACGCAAACCATACCCAGGTCCACAGATGGGAAGAGGCAAAGCCAAGCCAGAGCAGCTGAGGCTTCAGACTCCCGGCCAGGCTTTCCTCTGGACCCTGTGAGCCGCTGGGGTTGAGCCAACTTTCCTAGGAAGAGAGGAGCTGGGGCAGGCTGGGCAGGTCAGCGACCCAGGGTGGCCACAGGACAGGTGTGTGTTCTCTCCAGAGGGGAAGGGATACGGGGTTAGCACAGGCTCCCAAGAGGAAGAGGGGGCATGCACATGACTCGCAGCACCCACACTCGCCCTAGTAGCTCCTGAGAATTCCCATGAGGGGTTCTGAGAAACAATGTCTCCCCAAGACAAACCTAAATTCCACTGTTAGGAAACCTTTCCCTCCTTCATCCACTGCCCTGCCAGGCCACTGGTCTCACTGGCAGCTCAAAAGCATTCCTGGGCCTCGAGTCCAGTAGTTAGAGGCCTGTGGAATGTCCACTCCTGCCACTGCGGGGTCACCTGGCCACAGTGCCCCCTGGAGAACACTGACTCACTGCTGGGCTTCACAAACAGCCACATGGGTCTAGCACATTCAAGTAACCAAGCAGGCCTGTCTGTCCCACTCGACAACGGAAGAAACAGGCTCTGGGGAGCGTCGCGACCTGTCCAGGGTCACCTAGGTGATAAATGGTAGACTTGGCCTTCAAATCCAGGAGGGCAGGTGTGCCTAGGCTCTCTCCAGAGGGGGCTCACTGGGCTGAAACCCAAGAGAGGACCTCTGCTCCCCAGGGCCACTAGAGACACATAAGACCAGACCAACCCCAGCTGCTCAGAACATGGAGTGTGGCTGGGGTCAGGGTTCTGAGGAGCTCTGTGGAGGCACCAGTGAAGGTCCAGACAGCAACCTCAGAGGAGTAAGAAGGGGTCCCTCCCACACAAAGGGCCAGGGCAGGAGGTGTGCCCTCTGGCCGCCACCCCAGGGCCTGGCTTGCTGGCTCTGTGATCACAGGCACCAAGCAAAACCTTCCGGCCTGAACTTTCAGGCAGGTGACGCTTGGTTTGCAGATGAACCTCTAGATGAAGCTACCCGTGTGGATCTGTGAAGGGGCTGACACTGTGAAGGGAGACAAAGTGCCACCGACGCATCCAGACCCAGCCACGGGTGATGGCCACGGGTGTGCCTGCATTTATTCTGTGATGCCAGTTTCTCGGAGTTACTACCATACCCAATTGCTAACACAAGCCTTCCATGCACACCCAAAACAGTGACAAGAGATATTTTTAGTGTTTTACTCATTTGGATCCAAGGGAGCTATTTTTAACCATCTTCTCAGACTTAATTTTCAATTTTATCCTACAAAGTTCTAATGGATTCCACCTCCTGGTCTCCCCCTTGAGGAGGCTGTGAGGAACATGAGGCGGGCGCGGCAGCTCTGATAGGTCAGAGGGGGATTTTTAAGTCTTAGCACCTTGCTCGCTTCTCTCAGTATGTGCCTTCTCAGGCATCCAGAAACATGGCCCACCTCTGTCCTGCAATGAGTGTGGTCAGCGCCACAGCTCCCAGGCCCAGGGAGGTCCCACGGACTCCCCTCCTTCAATGCTCACCACGAACAGAGGCGGCAATGCCCACGACCACGGCCCCTCAGAGAAACACCCAGATCGCTCTGAGGATCAGGAGCAGTGCCAGCCCTGACTCGCATCCCCAGAGCGCCCACCAGAAGAGTGGGATGGACCGTGCTTCTTTCAAAGCTCTGTTGGCCGGGCCAGCACTGGGTGGGCACACCTGGCAATGGCCCTGGTAATTTGGGATCCAGTGGCTTAGCCAGGGCTCGGACGGCTCTGAGAGCCAGGACGCCAGGGCAGGCACTGCCATTTCATTAACTTGGACTGGAAAATGGGTCCATTATCATTATGTTTGTGAAAAATCCAGCACCTGCTGGCCAACTTCAAATGGTCCAACTGCAGTCAAGTGGGAACAATGGTGGAGTCATGCGAGGCCTACCTGGGTGAGGACGTCCAACTGGCCCACGATGTGCTCCAGCGTGCTGGTCAGCGTCTGCGGCACGCTGCTGGGCTCCCGCGGCTGGCTCTGCACCGACTCCTGGCTCCGGCATCTGCCCGGTGGGACGGGAAAGTCCACTTCCGGCTAAAGACAATGATCGAGCACTTGAGGAAACACTGAGCAAGGAGCAGCCCCTTGGAAGGGCCGAGTGGAAACCACCAGCAAGTGAGGAAATGAGGTCAAAACAAATGTTGATGAGAAGGGCCACATGCTGGGACCCCCACATCTGATGCACACCCTCCCCCAGGCCTCCCCTTCTGGGCAGAGGCCATGAGTGACGAGGCTGGAGGGGCTGGAGGGATGAGTGGGTGGACGGACAGTGCCCTCAGCCGGCTGTTGGAGGCCCCAGGCTGCTCCTGACGGGGCTGGGGTTCCTGTCAAAGATCCTTCAGTCTCCAAATGCAGAAGCCACCCCCTAACCCACCACACCAATGAGGACAAGTGATTTCATAAGGGGACGCATTCCAGTCCAATGTGTGTCCCCAAGTCATGCCCCCTCTGTGCAGATGGAGGCTTCTCCTGACCTGGGGAGCACCACCTTCCGAGAGCTACCCAGTCCCACAGTCACGGCCAGCAGGTGCCCCAGTTTGGCCTGGGAACCTACCCTTCCTGTGTGGACTTGTTCCCTGTGGGAATGACGTGCTCAATGAGGCCCACACTCCTGGCTGGCCCCAGAAACCCACTGAGGCAGCCACACCGGGCTCAGGGTTTTAAACCACGACCTCACTGAGGGGCATTCCAGATGCCACCACGTCACACCAAGCATCGCCAGGCCTCAAGGGCTCCCCACCACCTTTGGAAGCAAATGCAAGCCTGTGACAAGGCACCCTGCTCAGGTGTGCCTCCTCTCGAAGCTCCCTTCCTGCCTCTGCACCCTTGCACCCAGCTCCGGGGTCCTCTGTGCTGGGAAGGCTCACACCCACCCTTCCTCACCCCTGCCCCGGGAAGCCAGCAGCCCATCCTCCATCACTTCACAGCTACACCCTCCCGATCAGAAGCCCTCTGAGCTCCCGACCACCTGGCCTGTCCCATCCCTGCCCTGTTCCTCCGGCCACTGCATCTCAAGGCCAGGACACTTGAGCAGGACGAAGCAATGCCAGCCACCCACCCATGTATGTGTGTCTCCCTGTCTCCTGCCTGCACTCATCACTCCTTGGCCCTCGAAACCCAGACCAGCCCTGGGCTCAGAGCTTGCCAACTCCTAGTGCACCACAGGGAGAGGCGACCTGCGCCTTTCCCTTACCAGGAAAGCTCTAACCCCACAGATTGAACAAACTCTCAAGAGCACACTGACTTGAACTGGGAAATACACAGGCCCTGGTGGTTTAAGAAAACTTATACGTGAGGCTCAAGCCAGAGGGGATTCTTGAAAAGAGAGGCTGGGTCCAACGTCCGCCATCGGCATGCCCGCAGCGGTGCCGTGGCCACTTTGTGAGACCTCGGCCCACAGCGCTGGGCTCCGCCCGCCCTCCGGGGATCAGTGCACTCAGACCTGAGTGCCAGGCGTCATCTCAAAAGGCAGACTTTCAGAAGCCTCAACGAGCCTTCACCTCATGGCCACGGCCCTCAGAGCCAGGCGGGGCTGTTCCTCTGGCCACGCCACCTGGGCCCTGTCCTCCCTTCACCAGGACATGGCCCTTCTCTGCTTCCTGTCCACTCTCACCAGCGAACACCATGGACCGAACACATGGCCAGCCCAGCATATGAAGATGACACTCACTGCTGTGAACTTGTCATCTACGTGCCAGCGATGTACACATGTTCCCTCGTTTCATCCTTACACTGGCCCTTCACAGCTATTAACCTCACTTTTCAGGTGGAGAAGCAGGCTCAGGAAGGGTAAATAACTGCCCAAGTCACCCAGGACATGACAGAGCTGGGGTCTGAACCCAAAATACAGACAGTTCCTGGACACTGCGCAGCTTTCGACAGGTGACATCACCTGCAGTTTTACTCCACAGGCCCAGTTGCTCTTGCATCCAGCCCGAATCTGACACTGTTTGGGTCACTCCCCCACGCCACCTGTCCTGGACCGCCTTCCTGGCACAGAGCTGAACCAGAGCAGGCCCTCCACAAACGCTCCCCACTTCAAAGGGCCAAGCCCACCACAGGGACATTCCCGTGTAATGACACCTTCCCAAGGCAAAGGGCCAGTAGCCCCGTCCTACCCAGCACTCCAGCCCTCTGGAGATGTGGCATTTCCTTGAGAGCTTGGCAAATAAGTGATAAAGCAGAGATAAGGCCAAGAGTGGGAAGACACACGTACCAGGCCTGTGAGCAGTGACGGTGGTGCAATAACAGGAGCAGCATTTAAGGGAAAACTGTGCCAGTGCTGCTGAACATCACAGGGTGGCAGGGGTCTTGCCCGGTGGCTCTCAGTCAGGTCTATCACGCCTGAAATCACATTAGCCCGCACCCGTGGGACTGCACCAAGTCAACTTTCACTTTTGCGAAACATAAACATCTTAACTTCAAAAGAGAAAAAAAGGTGAAAGTTGGCTGGTAATGAATTTTCTCAGCTTTTATCTGAAAAAAGTCTTTATTTTTCCATTTCTAATAGATATTTTTGCTGACTATAGAATTCTAAATTGACAGTTTTTCCTTTGAATACTCTGAAGATATTACTCAGGTGTTGTCTGGCTTGTGTAATTTCACGTGAGAATAATTCTGTAATTCTTACATTTGATCCCCTGTACGAAACGTGTTTGATTTCTGTCTTCAAGGTTTTTCTTAACCCTTTGGTTTTCAGAACTTTGTAATTTGTATGGGGTTTCTTTTTTTTCCCCTTCAGCCTACCTGTCATTTCTCTGAGCTTCTTGGATCTGTGGTTTGATGCCTTTCATTATTTTTAAAAAATTCTTGGCCATTACCTTTCAATAGCACCAAAAACCATGAAATATGCTATTTGTTTCCTGGGGCTGCTCTAAAAAATTGTCACTTGGTGGCTTAAAGCAACTGGAATTTATTCTCTCAGAGTCTGAAGTTAAGGTGTCCGTAGGGCCACGTTCCCTCTGACACCGAGAGAGAATTCTTTCTTGCCTCTTCCAGCTTCTAAAGGCCCCAGGATTCCTCGGCTTATGGCTGCATTACTCTGATCTCTGCTTCTATCTTCCCAGGTGTCTCTTCTCTGTGTGTCTCTTGTCATTGGACTTAGGGCCAACCCAAGAACCCAGGATGACCTCCTCTTGAGATCCTTAATTACAATGACAAAGACCCCTTCCCCAAATAAGGTCACATTCACAGGTTTGTTAAGAGTGAACTTGTCTTTGGGGGGGCCACCATTCACCCTACTACAAAATGCTTAGATAGTGATGGTGATTACATGACTGTTTGTCTGTTCGCTTTTTAAAATGGCGACTGTTACTATTTATATATTATTAAGCATGACTTTCAAAAAATGCAGTTACAACTAAAATGCCCTTGGGAGCCCAATCTGCCCATCACATGACACTGCACTTGACACCACCCATCACTGCCACTCTGCACCCCGGTGCAAATCACCACCTCTTCACAGGGCAACACCAATGGGGAAGACCCAAGGGGAGGCTCGTGAGGTCCACCATGGTCCAGGGTTACAGTCTCCAATGTGGAGAGCCAGCATCACACTTCAGAGCTTTAGTTCCTGAAGCTGCAGTCTCCCTGGTCGTTGGCAGGTGTTCCCAGGCAGGATTTCCCCAGCAGCAGCTGTCCAGTCCATGGACATCAGGCCTCAGCCACTCAGGGTTCACACACATGGCCAGCAGGCAGGAGTGGCTGGAGTTTTCCCATAAAGATGTCGTGAGCGGAAGTGACAGAACGCTCCCTCTAGTGGGTGAGTAGTCAATTATTAATACCTGCTCAAGGCGGAAATTACTCTTTGCCTTTCCACCTCTAACACCAGACCTTGCCCCTGCCTGGCCTGCTCCAGAAACAAACTCTAACAGACAAAAGCATCCAGGAACTGGTCCACAGCCTGAGTGTGGGGCAGAGGGAGGACAAGAGGTGACCAAGCCCACGATCTGGGCTGTCTCACTGGCACCACCTCCTTGCAGAGACCCAGGTGGGGAATGCGACTGGCCACTGCCCATTTAAACCACCAAAGCATGTCCCTGTTTCTGAAGTAGGGGTGAGTGCCGAACAGGAAGATGTGGACACCCCCCCCCCATGAGGTCTTTTCAACTGAATCTTTCATCCAGTTGTTCACTGCAGTCTGCTAAGCAAGGGTGCAGAGATTCACAGCCACCTTTCTCAGTCTGCTCCTCAGGCCTTTGGCTCTGGCGATTCACCCTCATGGAAAGTTAACGGGCGTCCCCGTCTGGCTGCCTCCCTGTTTGCTCAACCGGGCCCTAGCGAGGAGAGCAGGGAGCAGACAGAGCTCACTTGGGCTCACCCTCATCTCCAGCATCTTAAGTGGAAAAAGGCCCGGCTGTTTTCTCAACTCCAAGCTCAGAAGAACACTGGTACTGTATTCCCCACATATATTTGTGAACTAGATATACGACAGCCTTTTTTGCCCTATAATTTAGGGTTCCAGCCTGGAGTCCAACAAGAGAGAAAACTTCTGGTTCTAAACATAGCTCTGAATCCAAGAGGAATTCTGGTTTCTTAAAACCTTCTAATTCTTTGGCAACCTTGCCAATGTTCCTCCAAACCAGCCGAGCATGAGTGTGGGTTTGGTTACTGCTGCTGGTGTGTGTGAATGTGTATGAATGTGCAGGGTGCCTTCGTGGTGATCAGGGCCATTGTATGAGCTTCCCCACTGAACACCACCCGTTTCCAGGAGGGCTAGCTCTTGCTCAGTTCAGCTCCACAAACGTGACCAAGGGCCCACTCCAGCTAGGCACTGAGCACCTCAGGGTTCCCCACTCCTTGCCTCAGGACAGAAACACCTACCTTCCCGCCCTGAGACTCAGGCCACCACACGAGGGAGATCAAGGCTTGTGACAAAGCCCATGTGTTGACTGTAGGTTTTTTAAAAAAATTAAACTGCTTTGAACTAATTTTAGACTTAGACAAAAGTTGCAAAAATAGTAGACAATTACCATCTACTCTTCTCCCAGGTTCCCCCAGTGTTAACATCTCACATAACCATTAGGGCCATGATG